GACGATGAACACACACACACACACACACACACACACACACACACACACCGAAAACAAAAGACAAGAACCACCCAGAACAAGACAAAGCAAACATGGATTAAGACAAAAACATGAAGCACATCAAAGAGCGTTTCATAGCGTGTGGAGTGATAACTAAACAAATAAGGTCTTTTGTCTGCTTGTTTTGGTTTTGTTGTTCCGCGGCGTCGTGCAAGGCGATAATGCTCAACCTGTTCGCATCACCAACTCCCACCACCGCCTGCATAGCGGCAAGCCTTTTTCTGCTCCATTTTTTTTTTGGTTTTCGTTTTCTTTGCTTCCCCGACATTGCGGTGTTAATAGATCAAATACAGTAGGAAACTTCATTCCACCCACCCCTCTCATCAGAAAACCCCTTCTTCCCTTGCCCGTTTCTCGTTCCTCTCCTCTTCATACTCGTCACCGTAAAGAATCACTTCTTGTGTTTGTATTTCGTCGCACGCAAAGAGTATGTGTGCAGCAGTGACCCTACATCTGGGGGTAGGCGTAGGAGGTAGACTTGGGCTCTACCAAGGGAACCACCGGAGACCGCGATCGACGCGAGACCCCAAGCGTCTTCTCAAGCAACGCATGATTTCTTTCTGAGTGCGCCTCTGTAGACAGTGTGGACCGGGCCGCACCTGCAATGTGCGTGTCATGTTCACCGTCGTTATTGCCTACCAGAGGCAACACGAGAGAAGCACACGGTGTCCCGCCGTTGCCGACGCTGTCGTCAGCTTTTTCGCTGGCCTGCAACGCAGAGAGCAATGAACGTGGCGCCACACTGTTGTGCGCCGTGTGCCGAAAGCTCGGAACCCCCAGACGAATAATGCGCTGTGGCGGTATTGAACGTATCTCTCCGCGCTGGACACCAGTGCCGTACGGCTTTGTTCCACTCACGTCATCCACTTGTGCAGCGTACTTAGATTCACGGTAAATCGTGTCGGGACTTCTTGCCTGTGATACGGAACGTCCATGAAAGAGGGAGATGCGGTGTGAGAGGTGACGACGCGGCGTGTGGCGCTCAGGCGTTGCTGACACCCGCCGCAACCCTAAAGGCCGAATAGGAGTTTGTAGATGTGCGGCAGTAGGCGACACTGTGGCAACAAACCTGCTTGAGAATGGAAGATACCGCATACTAAGCCGCTGCAAACGCGGCGTTGTTGCGCCTGCACATGGCGTGGATACCGTTGTTACACGAGGTGTGGCTGGTCCTCGTGGCGTGGACGCCATTGTTGCACGCGGTGTGGCTGCCGCTGTTGTACGCGGTGTGGCTGGTCCTCGCGGCGTGGACGCCATTGTTGCACGTGGTGTGGCTGCCCGTTTGAGTAGTGTGGCTGTCTTACTCGGAGAAGCAAAGTTATTATTGGCCCCCTCCGTTCGTGAGCCGCTTTCGCGCCTGTTTTCGTGGGGCGGGTCACCTTTCAGCGATGTTTTATTCTGCTTCTTCGTTGCCTTCCCACCTTGCCGTGGGGAATTGACTGTCTTCTGCCTGGGCGTATCTCCAGTAGCTTTCTTCACAAGAAACTTCTTCTTTCGATGCTCTGATACGCCTCTCATCGTGGCCTCACCTGTGGCGTTTACATGAGCATCGTGACCACCGCTGCCCACCTCAGCTTTCTCCACCACACAACCCTTGCCACCAGAATCTGCAATAGCAGGGGCTTTGCAATTGGGGGATGTTGCCGTGCCCTGCATAGAGGCGCCGAGGCCACTGGGTTGAGGCACCTCCGCCAATGCCCTCGTTTCCAGCAACTCCTGCATCCCCTCAAAGGAGTAGAGATTCAGGTCGCGATCCAAATCCACCGCCGATTTGGTGGCGTCGTGGACCAGTGCAAGACCCGTCAGAAGTGTTGAATCCCCTTCCACACTCATGCTAACAACACGGATGCTCTCGCCCGGGAGCCCGGTCGCCATTGACGTTTCATGCCGCAGCGTGCACTCGACGGTGTCGCGCATTGAGGAGAGAAGCGACGACCACCCACGGCCCTCAAAGGTCTTCTTGTGCGTCGTCACCGACGCCGCTTGCACTGGGAGCGGCGGCGTAGGAACAGGCACCACCGCCGCCGCCTCGGGAGCGTCTGAACCCAAATCCGAGATATATCCCGCAGAAAGGGTCGATTCTTCTGCCACTTCCTCCATTGCTCCGTGGGCCTTCCGCAGTTCTTGCTCAGAGACCTGCCGTGGCGCAGGCAACGCGTCACTGTTATTTAGTGCACCGGCTTTAGCTCCTTGCGCACCCAGTGAAAGACGTCGCGGAATCGCCGACACGACGTCACCAGCCTCGCCAGTCTGCTGGATCGTGCCTCCTTCCTTGGCGTCACTTTGCGACGCTGCTGGATACCCGCTGACGAATGCTTCGTCGTTTCCTGTCGCCACCGCTTGGTGCTGCTTGCCTACGAACCGTTCAACGACCATTAACCTCCCTCCTTAACCTTCCTGCCCTCGCTATACCACGTCGTCGGACCTCTTTGTTCCCTTTCAAGGGCCTCAATGCTCTGTTTTTTTTTTATTTTGTTTCTGTTTTTGTCTGTCCGCACGCTAGTTTGTGTATTTGCTTGCTTCTCCCGTCACGCGTCTCTCCCTTGTGATGCGGCTGCCGTGCCTGTCGCCGCCCTTCGTGTCAAGCTATGTCAACGATTCCAGAGAGAATTGGCTGCTACTCTAGTCACTACTACTCCCAGTAACGCCTACTATGTACTAGCTGGTGGACGTCGCACGCTGTCGCGGGGTTTGCCGCGCGTGCAAGGCAACAATGAGCAACAAAAGGCAAGTGAGAGGAGACGCTGACCAAAACATTGCACTCCGCTGCAGCCCACCACACAGAAAGACAGACGGGCAGACACACAGAGTAACAACGCTGGAGTGAGGAAACGAGTAAATTTCAAAAAAAAATAATAATAATAAAAACGTAGGTCTTTTGGAAATGAGTGCCAACGTAGAAAGCCACCATGCGGTGCTTGCCGGAAAAGCCAAAAAGAAACGCCTGCCACTGCGTCTCCCCTGAGCGCTCCACAGCTCACATCACAGCAATGCCAACAAACGCGAACTCCCGCCAAAATAAGACGTCGCTCGCCGCCCAAAACCGCATCGCCAAACGGTCGGTATTGCCCCGTGCACAAGACCGTCGGAGAAGCATTGAAGGTTGCGGCGTGCATCATCATCCAAGGCTGAGCCGCCTGGAGGACAGAAGCATCTCTTCCTTGTCACGTCTCCGCCTGGGACTGTCGCCAAAGCAAATAATAACCCCTACACCATTCCCACAGCTGTCGTGTCACCCCGGCATATAATTGCATGCCTAGAAGCAACACTAATCCAATGCCTCGTGACCAATTTAGCACACGGTTGCAGCCACTCACAGCCCCGCCTTTTTTGCCTTTTACGTTTTTCATTTTTGTTGCTGTTTCTTTCGTCTCGCGCTCCTTCCCACGCTCAGAGTTTCACCTCCACTCCCAGCGTCTCCGTCAACTCCCGCTCCAGTTTTTCCTTCAGAGAGTGTCCGTCGCTATCGGCGAGCCACTGTACATCGTGCACCTTCTCCACCTTGCGGTCCCCCTCCGACAAGACCATGTCGTAGTGGTGTGGCCCAGAGAGGGGCGAAGAAAGCCACAACTGCACATTCGGCGCCTGCTTGTTGAGCACAAAGGTCCCATGCGCTCCCGTCTCAATCGAGAGCACCCCACCCGCAAGCTGCACCTCCTCAATGCCATTGCTGTCGACAGCTTCCAACACGTTATCCACGTGGTCCAAAAAGAGATCCGCCGCGGTGTTGTACGTGACGTCGGTGAATCCGTCCATTCCTAAACGTGAGAAGCGACGTCCCCCGCCTTCTGAAGGCACAACTGGGGTCGTGGTGCCATGCCTCCACATCGCTGTGGCGGAGGGGGCACTCATCAGGCATACCGGCATTCCTACTGCGGCAGCCACAGCCACACGGCGCATTTGCATTGCCCGTATTCGTTTGTTTGTTTGTTTTTTTCCGTTTAACTTCAATGCCAGTGTGGGACAAAAGAGAGAAACAGAAAGCGAACAAAGCAGAGGGCGAAAAATAAATAAATCTCAGTTGGGAAAAGTGGTTTCGCCTTGGCACAGACATACGCATAAGTCATGAATGCGCGCAAAAGTAAGTGGCACAGTAGCAGCAGTAGAAACGAAGGAAAAGTTTAGTGAAAGAAAGGCACCGTGCAAACGTACAAATCGTCAGCAGCACTAGCGGACATCATACAGTAGTGGAGGACCACTGCAGCGGGCACGAACCCCAAAAACATGACACTCGTATAAACAGCCAAGTATACCAAACAAAAGAAAAAGGTAAAACAGACTTCGAAAAAAGTGGCAAAAGAACAAGGGGGTTGTCACCTCCTCTCGTCTTGTCAGCGTGGCCGACGGGTGGCCCGTTCCCGCAACAGTTTTTCCGCCCACAGCCCACGCGCCACTGTAGAGATGTCGGATAAGCCGTCTGGACGTAATGCGACGCCGCTCTTGGGAACGGGGGAAAGGTACGTGTTTGTGTCAGGACGCCTGGGTGGCGACCGCGGCAAGTAATACAGTCGACTCACCACATTCTCTCTAAGCGCACCGCCACCTTCTGCGCCGCACCGCGCCCCTCGTTGTTGAGATGGATTGTTTTGTGCTGTGTGCGCCCCCGTCACGGCGCCCAGCAAACGGGAAGCGGCGGCGGCCAGTTTTTTTTCCTCCCGCTTCAATCTTGGGGCGAAGCGCTTATTGTATATCCCGTCGTAGGGTGTGTGGCGACCGCATGAGAGCACTTGTGACCGCACACGGCGCTCCACGTCGCGTCCCATCGACCACGGCTCCCGCGCCGCCGCCGCCGCCGCCTCAGCACTCAACGCAGAGAAGCGTCGGCGCTGATGGTCGTCACTGTGGCGACTGCGACGAGGGCCCCCATTTACAGCGGAGAAGGTGCCACACCCGCCAAGTTCCCCGCCTCCAACTTTGCTGTGCAACTCCTCGGTGGGTGCGTCGGCGTCCGTCAGAGAACTGCGCTCCAAAGACAACGGACGGACTCTACGCGGCCCGCGTCTCAGAGCACTACTTGTGCTTGGCCACCGACCCACGGTGTTGCTTGTATCGGCAATCGAATTTCCACAACGCACTACAGACGAGTGTGGTGACTCGCCCTCGCTGTCGCCCGCATTGGGGTCATCCGCTTCACCATCCTCATACCTCCCAGGTCTGTGATCCCGGAAACCGTCCCCTGAGGCGTCGCGCTTCAAAACACGTTCGAGTAGTTCTATTCGACGCTGCAAGGTGCGCTCCTTCTGCGCGTACAATTCTCTGATGCTGCAAATATGTTTTTCGTAACTCTCTTGTTGTCGGAGCATTTTGTCTTCAATGTTCTCACGCTTTCGCACTGCTTCATCGAGTGCCTCCCAGAGCTCCGCCACATCGCCTCGGTTGTTCAGTGAGTGTGCAAGGGAAGGATGAGGGCTGCGCACAAGCGCTTCGCGTGGCTGAGAAACACGCGGGTTTCCCTCTACTACAGACGTGTTCGTTGCACGCACACCGCTGTGCACATGGGGCGAAGAGGAGAAACGAAGGAAGTCGTTGCCCGCAGCCACATATGCGTTGGACGGCTGCTGTGACTGCTGCGGAGTCTGACTCAAAGGCATGCGGCCAAACGTTGCAAGCGGCAATAATGATAGCCCTGCTCCCTTGCCGGCCTGCTCGACACAAGACAAGATGCGCTTCTCGTAACGTTGCATGTTTTCTGCGAACTCCCCCAGCAGAAACAAGACCATGTCCCGCAACAAACGCACCTCCCTGCGCAGCTCCTTCGCAGTCGTGCTGAGACGAAGAACCAGAAACGAACGAAAGGCGTCCAATCGGTTAGAAAGCACAACGAAGGAGTTCTCCAGCTCGTCGTTGTGTGAGTCGAGGCGACAATACATGCTTTTAATTCTCTCTAACTGCTGCACGGTGGTAAAGTAGTGCCGCTCAAGGGACACCACCGCCACAGAGGGGCTGCCGAAGTGTTTCTGTGCAGCATTATCGGTGGCCTGAAGCAAAGCCGTGGTTCGTTGGGGCGTCCCGCGTGCATTTGGTGAGGTTCGTGCGCACGCGCCTTCGCCATCGCCGTCCCCATCCCTGTCGCCGCCGCTGCCAGGCAAACTGGAGGGAGCAGAGGCGACGCCGGGCGGCCGCTCTGTCAGGCTCCTTGAAGAGGGAGACCAATCCAGGGCCGTCATCTACGCCAAAGCATACAAGCGCAACAAAGCGCCTCTCTCTATGTATGTATTTATATTTCTTTTTGGCGTGAAAATTGAGGTTTACCTCCTCGCGTGCCTGCGCCCACCGACACGACAAGCAAAGGGGGAGAAGAGGAGAGAGAAAAAAAAACAAGGGGTTAGGAAATTGGTGCTTGGCCTACGGCTCCTCACAGAGGCATACAGGAAGAGAGCAAGAGTGAGTCGCACACACGCATAGAGAAGAGAGAGAAGAGAGAGAAGAGAGAGAGAGAGAAGAGAGAAGAGAGAGAGGGATAGGCCTTCTCTCCTCAAGACTTTCATTAACTAACTTCGCGACGTTGTCTCGCTAACCGTTTTTTTTTCTTACATCTCTGTTCTTCCAACTTCATTTTTATCTCCACTCAGTTATATATATATATAACTCTGTCTTTTGTTTTTGACTTAAAATGTCGCACGCCGAACGGGGAGAGATAAAGTATGCAAGTAACGCGAGGGGGAAGTGACGTAACACGTAGGAAAGGGTGTAGGTAAGAAAAGAGAAAGA